ATATTATCATATTATAATACTGCTTGTCCTGTGGAGACAGGGTGGAGTAATGGATAACGACTCAGATTGAGGAATCGGAAAGACAAGTTCTAATTCCAGTGGAATTCATTACATTCACTTACGTACTAATACCCTTGGGAAAGTTATGAAAACTCTCCCTCTCCCTCCAGCTACAGGTAAATAGCAGGACAAACTGGGTTCCTTGGATGGCAACTGGTCTATTGCAGAAAGAAATGGCAACCTACTGTTGGAAAAAGTCTGCCTCGTCAGTCATGTATCGAAAGATACATGATCGCCTAAGCGTGTATCATGCATGGCACATAACTGACTTGCTCTTTAGCATGTACAAGAAGTCACAAAATTTTATATATAGATTGCTATATATAAAACTCTATGACTTCTGTTAGTCCATCCATCCATCTGTCACACCCTCTAGAATAGCCATACATTGACTGATTGGAACCAAATTTTGGTGGGGAGGTATGGGGGTACAAAATGCAGTTGGTTTTACTAACTAAGGTGGCAAAAACTGTAAAGTAGCATTTTTGTCAAAGTATATTTGCTAACAAATCAGCTTATGCAAATTTCATCAATTGGTTTGCGAAATTGAACCAAATGTAGAGTTTGTAAATCTTGACAAAATGTTACTAATAACTTTAACAATACTAAATATTGTGAGGATTTTAACACACATCAGTGTATTGCAAAAAATTCTAATTATATAGAAGAAAATTACATGCATCATGGGTACAATGGATATTTATTCTTTTTATGTTATTACATTTTTGAATAGTATATATCAGTAGTTCCAAACCTCTTTTGCATCATCACCCACTTTCACATGGAAAGATTTTCAACTGCACAACTGTATAGTAAATATTCAAAAGCATACCAAAATTGTTTGGTAAAAGTTTATTATTGGTTCATAAACTGATGTAGTAAAAAATATGAAAGGGAGGTAACAAATAAAGGTAACTTATGTGGAGGCTGCTGTTGCTAGTATTGTATAAAAGAACAAAGGAAAACAAACTTGACTATTGAAAACTATATATATAATTGTTATAATAAGCATTTAGTTGCAAGAGAAAAGGAATAATAAGGTTAAGTTTCTGAACAATGTGCATTTGTTTAATATATGGGTGTCTTACAGACTTGTCACAAAATTGGTGAAATGTCAATTTCTGTTGCTGATTGTCAGGATGGCAATCAGGTGTAAGGGTAATGTTGGAAGTTGATCTATTTCTTGTTTTGGTTTGACCGAGGTCACAGGATATGATCGTTTCACATGTGTTGATCGATCAAGGTCATGGTGGTGGGTTAATTTGGGGTAACGTTCATTGGTTGTCAGGGTGATTGGCAATAGCTGGTAGGCCTGTTCTATGTAACATGATCGCAGTGATGATTGAAAAAGGAATGCTTGTAGTGAGTTGGGTATGCTGAGGTGACAAGGTTGGTATAGCTGGTTGGCCAGTGTTCTACAAAATGGTGGCAGCCTGAGTGGGTTGCATGCTTGCTGAGTTGGAGTCACTTTGTTAGTGGAATTGGAGTCACTTGTTTGCAGAGTTGGATTTGCTTGTTTGCAGAGTTGCTTGCTTGCAGAGTCAGAATCGCTGCTAGCAGGGTCAGAGTCACTTGTTTGCAGAGTTGGAATAGCTGAGGTGAAAGTGTTTGCGATGAGGAATGTTGGTTGCTGGGTAGTGTCAACATTGAGATATTATCAATCATGATAGTTGTCATCTTGGGCCTGGCAGTGTCAAGACTGGATAGTTGGCTGCTGTAGTGAGTCGGGTATGCTTAGGTGATGGTGTTGGTGATGAGAAAGCTTGTAGCTGGGTGGTGATGATGCTGAGATGATATTCTGGTAATGGCCATTGAGAGGAGCAGTCATGTCAGTGCTGGCCCATAACTGATCATAGTCATTATGGGAGACCTGTTTTTAAGCAGATCAGCCAGTCCCCAGGGACATCTTCTTTATGGTGGGAATGTTCATGATTGGCCATTATCACTTTCATTATCTGGGCTTGTTTCATGGACTGGATGTGATGCTTGGAGCCTATGCACAGAAAACAACGTTTTTATTTTGTTCTCTACTTTCATGGTGTTCACAGCCATCATGCAGAATGAATCAAAAAGCAATGGAGTATAACATAATTTAGTTTTATGGTTAGGGTTAGTGTTGCAAGTGTAGACAAAAAAATGAAATGATTTTTGTTCATAATTATAAAATCTAAAAGAATATACACTACTAGCAACTAATAAAAATTCAGTCAATATTTTTTGTTGTTCTTGGTCTTCCCTTATTTGATTTATATCTAAAAAATGTTATTTCAGCTGAAGAACTATTTGAATGTTACTGAACCTTCTCAAAACTAGAAAATACTTGTAGAGTTGCTAACATCCCTTCAGCACTATACCAGATGACCTGGCTTATAGCCTTAAATAGTCTTTGATTAAGGACTTCAACAGTTGATTATTAAGTTGATACTTAAATAATATTCAGACTGATCTTACTTCGTTTGGCTATACAGCATTTGATCCTTCTCTATTCCTTGTAAGTTGTCTTGTTAATTGTTTTGTAACTTATTGTTCTGTGTTTTTTTGTATGTATCCATTAGCACTGGATACTGGTACTAAATAAATATATTAAGCGCTCATTTTTCTCTGTGTATCATTCACCTTGATGATACAAGAATACCAAAATGTTCCTTATTTGTGGAGATATTTATATCTTATCTAGGAATGTGACTCAGTTATTCCCATTTAGCCTTTTGTTTTTTTTTTTAATACAGGTTCTTTGCATATCTCCTTTGAATATTGTTTTCAGGTAGCATATCTTGAAATACCTTTTTAATACTCAAAATCCTATATTGCCCACAATTTTCTGTTCAGTTGCTCATTGCCCACCCAACAATTGAAATCATCCACCAGTAGATAACATCACACAGTTTGGGAAATTCTGGTATATATTAAGGTTCATCAGCATTCTTTATGTATTGTGAATGATTTTATTTGACTATATATATAGTTGCGTTTCATTTCAAATACGTACGGAGGTTAGATATCTCACTTGGACATAAAATACTTTTAACTAACAATACTTAAATTAAATTACTGAAGATAAGTAATGCAACATATTTTCACTGTTATGGATAACTTGAAAAAATATCATAATATACTTAGGTAGAAAATGGTTATGTGGGGGTATATAAAAAGCAATGTATTTAAATAAAAAATTATACAATAAAAGATGTGTAACAAATAATATTTTTAAATGGGGACAAAACTGGTCAGAGAAGAGAACAAAAATAATGTAATATGCAGTATATGATTGTATATTTATTTAATGAATATTTACAATTTATTTGAATGAGCAAGTGATTGAATGGATTGAAGTCCAGAATGAGAAATTGTATAGCTTAGTTTGTTACAGTTACTTATACGCAAATAACCTTGGGAAAAGTATTAATCCATCTTTTCTGCCTCTAGCTATGGGGTAAATAGCAGGAAGGACTGGGTTCTATAGCCTTGGTTGGCAACCATTCTAGAGATGGTGTCTTAATAAAATCACCCATCACCCAGCAAGCTTGGGCCATGCATGGGTATGCATTAGGCCCATGAAAATGCATAATGATTGAAATTCCTCAGTCATGTCAGTTGTGCATTCTGCTGTAGCTGGAAAAAGTTTTTACTTTATCGTTTTTCATTTTTTCCCTTTAAAATGTAATAGATCAACTTGTCAACTGTAGATTATCTATAGGTCCAGCTAAAACAGGTATATCATGATATATCCATAAGCCTATCATTAAAACAGGCATATCATGATATATCCATAAGCTTATCATTAAAATAGACATATCATGATATATCCATAAGCCTATCATTAAAACAGGCATATCATGATATATCAATAAGCCTATCATTAAAACAGGCATATCATGATATATCCATAAGCCTACCATTAAAACAGACATATCATGATATATCCATCCATCATTAAAACAGGCATATCATGATATATCCATTTTTTTATTTAAAACAGACATATCATGATATATCCATAAGCCTATCATTAAAACAGGCATATCATTATATATCCATAAGCCTATCATTAAAACAGGCATATCATGATATATCCATAAACCTATCATTAAAACAGGCATATCATGATATATCCATAAGCCTATCATTAAAACAGGCATATCATGATATATCCATAAGCCTATCATTAAAACAGGCATATCATGATATATCCATAAGCCTATCATTAAAACAGGCATATCATGATATATCCATAAGCCTATCATTAAAACAGGGATATATCCATAAGCCTATCATTAAAACAGGCATATCATGATATATCCATAAGCCTATCATTAAAACAGGCATATCATGATATATCCATAAGCCTACCATTAAAACAGACATATCATTATATATCCATAAGCCTATCATTAAAACAGGCATATCATGATATATCCATAAGCTTATCATTAAAACAGGCATATCATGATATATCCATAAGCCTATCATTAAAACAGGCATATCATGATATATCAATAAGCCTATCATTAAAACAGGCATATCATGATATATCCATAAGCCTACCATTAAAACAGACATATCATGATATATCCATAAGCCTATCATTAAAACAGGCATATCATGATATATCCATAAGTTTATCATTAAAACAGACATATCATGATATATCCATAAGCCTATCATTAAAACAGGCATATCATGATATATCCATAAGCCTATCATTAAAACAGGCATATCATGATATAATCCATAAGCTTATCATTAAAACAGGCATATCATGATATATCCTTAAGCCTATCATTAAAACAGGCATATCATGATATATCCATAAGCCTATCATTAAAACAGGCATATCATGATATATCCATAAGCCTACCATTAAAGCAGACATATCATGATATATCCATAAGCCTATCATTAAAACAGGCATATCATGATATATCCATAAGCATATACATGATGAAGCACCGGTTCTCATATGATCACCAAAGTTAAGCAATGTCGAGCCCGGTCAGTACCTAAATGGGTGACCACTTGGGAGTACCAGGTGCTGTAAGCTTGGATATGCAGGTAATGTAATGGATAACTGTTAAGAATTGGAAATTGGAGAGCTTAGTTCCAATTCCAGTTGGGTTTGTTTTAATCACTTACGGACTAATACCCTTGGGAAAGGTATGAATCCAACTTACACCCTCAGCTATGGTTTAATTAGGACTTATATCAATAAATCATTATTATCTCCAAAAACTTCTTGCAATCTAAGAATATTTTCTGATTTTAAATAACCTTCAAATGATTGATAAATCATAAAATACAAATAAATCAATCATATGATATTAACAATATTGTGGAGTCAAAGAGAGTTTTCAGATTTGAATATTAAATAAACATTGGAGAGAAAGTTTGTAAAAATAAAAATATTTTTGATACACCTTTATTAATTCTGCCTTTTTGATGTATGCACATATATCTTACACCTACATTGTCATCTGTTGAATACTGCAGACAATAATATTGATCATAGACAACGATAAAAGAAATGCAACAGACACATGTTTGCATACCATTATCTGCAATAACTGTAATTCTAATAATAGAAACTTTGATTATAATTTAGTCTTTATATTATTATACATTGATACTTTCCTTTCTTTTTTTTACAATGTTGTTCACTCTGTACAAGGCTCAAGAGCCACTTGAGGTAGAGGGTTACAGAGTAAGATGCATAGTTTATGTGGATATGTGGGAACAAAACTGTTAATCCTAGACTTGAATAGGTTAAGATAGGTTAGTGATTGGGTATGCATCTCCTTGGAAGTTGGTTCCACAGAGCAGCAGTTTGTGGGAAGAAGTTGCTTAAGTGAAACTTGTGCCTCACTAATGGAGTATGAAGGGAATGAGGGTGTGTTCACTACAATGTCTGTGGCATGGTAGGATCTTAGCTGTGATTGAACTAAGAATGTAGTTCATCTGAGTATATTATATGGAAATAGCTATAGAGCAGCAAGAGATTGGTCATGATATATGTGAGAAAGAGGTTGTAGGGTAGAAAATAATTTGTCCCCCACAAGGACTCTGAGATGTTTTTTGAACTATATCAAGACTGGAAAGTGAAAACTGGACTGCTTCTACCCATATATGGCAGAAATATTCCATTTTCAGCATGATTTGGTTCTTATAAAGGTAGGAGATATTGCAAACAGTCAGGTACAAGGAACCAGCCATTTTTTTCTTTAGTGGTGGATCACATGTAAAAGTTCCACTTGAGGTCTAGATTGAGTTTAAGTCCCAATAAGTTTTCAAGGTATGAGGCCTCCCTTAGGGAACATCAGTTCATTTCGATTGGTGATAGTTTTGATGACAGTGATGTAATATTACTAGTTTGGTTAAATTATCTTCAGATGTCTCTTTTAATTAATAACCTTCTCATTATGTCAAATAGAATTCTTTATTTGGTACACTGGGATATATTAAGAGACTGATTGGAATCATAAGGAATCATTGACGATTATGAGTTCTGTTGTAAAGAGACCTTAGAAAGGTCTAATGTTTCTATGAAAATTTGGTAATCTTTAACTTTCATGCCCACAAAATGGTGTGTCAAAAGGATAATTTTTTCCCTTGACACTGCTATTATTTTAACTACCTTCACTCCAATGGCAATGTTTGTTGTTTTAAAAAGCAATGGTTAGAACTTTAATAAAATCCAAACATATGAAAATGAATTTATACATTTTCTTTGTTCTTTGAGAATTTACAACAAAAATATTAAATGATATTTATTTATTCGATTGTTTATTCACATGAATAATTTTGCATTTACAACATTCTACAATTGTGAACCCTAAAAATTGCAAACCAACTAATACAATGCAATGTATCAGTTATCAATTTATAAAGAAATAAATATGAAAATAATTTTTTTTTATTTATAAATTTATAAAAAAATGTCTGTCAAACATTAAAATTTACATAAACTGAGTAACTGTAAATATAAAATTTGAAAAAATGCATTTTTCATCATTTCTTTCATGTGGCAATTTATTGATATTTTTATAAGATTATGAATAAAAAATTTGTTTTCATAGTTATTTATAAAATGGTAAATAATAAATATTGCATTGTAATTGGTTTATATATTTTGATAATATTTTTTTAAAATCTTTGAATAAAATGATTTCTTTCCACATTCATTTCTTTATAAAATGGTAAATAATAGATTTTTATAAAAGTAAATAAATATCACATTGTACTTGGTTCAAATATTTTTATAATCTTCTAAATAAATTAGTGAATGTAGTACAAAATAATAGTGGTGTCAAAGGAGAAAACAACCTTTTTTTTGTAGTCATGAAACTTAAAATTTGCTGAAAATTGTTTTGTATTTTTTATTTATTTAAACAATTTCTTAGTGGTCTGAGAAAATTTCTGTCAAAAAACAAAGAGGTGGTATAAATCTTAAGCGGAAGCCTTTGCAGTCAAATGTTATCAAAGAGGATAGTTGATATGCTATTTCTGGATGGATTGTTTTTTTAACTGTTTCAGTCTTTCTTATCAAATCATGAAATAAAAGTTCTCCTAAACAGCTACTCTTCTTGGTCTTTTTGCATTAATGCAGGTGTCCCCTAGGGCTCTATCCTTGTACCTGCCTTGTTCTTAATTTTTATCAATAATCTTCATGATTATATCAGTTCTCTACTCAGTATCAATATTGATGGTACAACTATTTACTCCTGTCTCAATAGTAAGTCTGATCGGTTCAATAAGGTCAAATTGGCAGCTGATCTCAAAAATTACCTGTTAACTGGGGCAAGTAATGTCTTGTTAATTTTAAAGCCTCCAAAGTGAAACTTCTCTCTATTAATTATCTAAAAGACCACTTTCTTCCTTCCATAATTGTGCTAACCTCCAGAAGAATGGCTTGTTGCACCTTCTTGGGCTAACATTCTCTGCTGATATGAAATAGAAAGATTATATAGAATCAATTGCTAGGTCTGCTTGCTAAGAAATTTGGTTCACCATGATGTGCTAGAAAATTTTTCCCTCCAGAATCTATCTTACATATTTATAAGTCTACTATTCATAATGGCTTTGAATGTTGCTGCCACATATGGTCCAGTGCTTTAGTTTATATTTAGAGATTCTTGATAAAATCTAGATAAGAATCTGCAATTTTATTGGTCTTTTGGCTTCAGTCACTTTCTTACTGTTATAATGTAGCTTCCCTGTGGCTTTTCTATAAATACTTTCATGGTAATTGTTAACTTTCCACTATGGTACATAGACTTTGTCGGAGTTACCTCCTCCTAGGCTCCTTAAACCAGAAGAGAACAGGTCATTTGATCTTGACCTTTTCAATAACCCAAATGGAAATTTTTACACGCTGTTAACAAGGTAGATTTAGCAAGTTACCTTTTCAGTTTAGTTATATTAATAACCTAGTTGTAATATACTTCTTCAAATTTTTTTTGGCTTTCAGTTTCCTTTTAGCTAATCTTTTCTTATTTTTTATAGAGACTTTACTGTATTAGTTCACCAATTCTCTTAGTCTTTCTTACCACAAGACAGTGACTTCTCATTAAATTTAGGGAAGATTTATCAATGACATTTGAAACGGTCGGATACACAAGCTCCTGGCCTTTGCAGCCAGGACGTTGTATCTAAAGGCTTCAATATTAAGTTATTTTCCCATTTTTTTTTGTCTGCCAACTTGACGATAGTTAGAAACTTTCCTTCTCTCTCATTCGCCTACTACTATGGCTCCTTTCATTTTGTTTGGAAAATAAATTCCGTCCCTACTGGCTGCCTACATCGTATATATCCTTTCTATATACACTGTATTTTACCTTTTAATTAAAACAGGAGGTTACTATTATCAGACTTGACCGGCAATCAAACGCCTGCACTGGACCTTTGATTTAAACCCGCAAACAACATCACAATGCCAGAGTTATTTTCCTTGTAAAACGTCAAGTTGGCAGAAAAGCAAAACCAACATCAACCTCAAACTACATTTTGACCAGCAGCAATCATCTGCAACGACCGAAACAAAAATCAGTTTTACAGCAATCATCGGAAAAACAACCAGCAGAATAATTAATTTTTTACCTTATTGACCAGCAGTGAATATTTTTGTAACAACCAACCTCGACCATCAATGCCTGCAATGGAACATCTGCATCTCTACCGTTCTGACCTTTTTCTATTTCTTTATGACTTTTCTAGAACAAATTAGCTTATATCATATATATCCTCGTTCTGTCGTCTATGTTGTTTCACCTTGTCAGATTTAACGTCTTCAAAAATGTTAGTGGGCCTCTTGTGACCTCATCACCCTTTTGTGATACGGGGGCGCTCAGGGGGTCTGCTACAACTTTATGAATTTATGTGTAGTACCAGATTGGTGGCTAGGTCTTATCAATTTACAGTTGAATTGGCTAGATGCAACCGTAAGTTCTATGCTAACAGTTTTTTCTCTCATATTTCTTGCTTGTGGAATTATCTTTCCTGCCTATTTTGATCTTCAAAAAATAAATGCAATGTCAAATGTTACCTTAGTGTTTTCTTGATTCCTCTTCTTTTATTGTTCTTGTTCCTTAATAACGTTTCTCTTTTTTCTTATTATTTCACACTCAGTAACCCCTTGTGCCTCAGTGTCTTTACTGCCTTGCTTGGGATGAAATGATTAAAAAAATATTTATAATGAAATTACCACTAAAAGCAAAGTAAAACATTCTAAAAATATTCTTATCTATCATCTCAAACACAAAAAACTATCTCCCCTATGTTTTATTTTTGTTTCGTTTTTATGAGATGACAGATAAAGAATACTTTTAGAAAGATTTATCTCATTTTTATTGGTAATTTCATTTTATTGTTTAATATCTTAAACTTATCAATCTTTCTTTTTGATAAAATATTGATTGAAAAGTTGAATTTTAAGAGGTTTTTTCAAAACTTTTTTTAAATATTTTTTTTTTTTATTTAATAATTATTCTTTAATAATTATATTTAACAATTATATTTTTTCTCGTAAAGTACTATTAAATCATAAAAA